ATTCGAATTTTTAATTTTTGCTGACACAATTTCAATAGCAAACATAGGACCACACAGCCTTTTTTGTGTGCAGTCAAATMGGGTATGGTTTTTGGCCCCAGCATCTTGAGTAAGATTTACAATTTACACTCAGTGGCTTGAAAAATGGGATGTCTTGTACAGGGTGTCGATAGTACTCTAGTCGGGTTATTAAAGTCAAAATAAAAAAATAAAAAAAAAAACGACATATTGTCATCTTTTACGGGAGCACTGTCTGGTTTTCTGATTTGCACAATATTTTTCATCTAAACAAAAGAAAGATAATGAAAACTCTTCACAAATGAAGAGCCGATGAACAGTCCTCCAAAATGTGGGTACTGAATTGTTTTATAGCCATTAATTAGTCAACCCAAAAAGGAGATAATCTTTTCAATTATCAAGGAACTTTAGAGTGCGCTGGCAAGTACTACACTCCTATGCAATGCTCTTTGAGCGGGTGCTCCGTATCCTTGTTAACAACTTGGATTTTTAGCAGCGCACGGCTTTGACTGATTGTAGGAATGTCCTGTCACYCACTGCCGTTACCTTGACGTTGCATCCCATCAACGGGTCTCTTGYYCCACAAACAACAAGCAGGATTCACTGCCGGAACATCGGTTTGCTGATGACCGCCACGTTAATGCCTCCTCAGGTGTCATCTGATGCACTCAGATGGGGTCCAGTCGAGGATGCCACAGAAGGCCAYCTCGTAAATGTACTAACCCCTCTCTGATTGCCTCTGGATACCCCAGACGACCTCTGTTCTGCGTATGTTCTGTTTCTAGTTTCAGCCTCCAAAGATATCAGGGGGAGGGCTAGCAACGGCGCCAACTAACTCAATGAGTATATAAGTGACATAAGGTAGCAGTGTAGAAGACTAGATCTTCCTAGAGTGGGTRCATCACTTCGTAAGGGGTTTAAGACCAGACATAAAAGACTATGTCGTCCTTCAACAGCCGGACACTATTGAAGCGGCGGAAAATTTCGCAAAGCTATTAAAAGAATCCGTGTCACGGAGTAATAGATTCCAAAGAAATTTCTCAGGAGATAATTAAACAGCTTAAGGCGCTTAACATGACCTCTGAAAGTAAGCCGCAGGCATCCCAAGCTCAAGTTGCGTGAATTAATGAGAAACCTAGCTTCCCACTATTACGCCCCAAATCCTACGTATCAGTCAAAACACAAGCCTAAATAATTCGAGAAGAGTTACGAAAAGAATTAAGAAATGCGCAGACCTCAAGTCAAGGAAGGAATGAGGCCAGTAGTTTGCAAAATCCTAGCAACTTCGCAAGGGGTGAACGCACCAAAACCGGCGTAATTAGTTGTGATTATTGCGGGGAAAAACGGCCACTCTATGTATAATTGTAGACATGGCCAGAAATTCCGGACATTTGAGCCCGGGACGAGTCAGCGGGGTTTCGCACCAAAATAGTGCTTTCTACAAGTTCCCTTGAACTTTTGAAGATCAAATTTTCTACTCTTGTGCAAACATTCTTTATCTTGATACAATACTGGGTTAAAATCGAAACGTTCAAAACATCGGCAAACGAGTATTGGGATATAGCACGCCCTGATCCTTGAGTTCATTAGTGGCTTGTGAGGTGCTCGTTTGGAATGTTCATATAGTGTAAATAATATTATTTGCTGGAACACACGTTTGACTCAGGCATTTTAAACAATGATCATCAGTTGATATTGTAATCTTTTGTTTATACTTGTACATTTCTAAGGTCTGACATTGTTTATACTAAATAGCATAGACTTGATTGGTCTATCTTTCGTTCGTATTTCCGGCCATTTACCAGTGCGTGCAAGGCGCCAGTAAAAACCGCCAAAATTAAAGCATTCCCAGTCTTAAAGCCACGTTTCTAAGGTTTATTTTGGTACCAAACATGGCGAAAAATGGAAAGAAAATGGAAGATTGAGGCCAATTATTCACGTGAAACACGAGTCTTCGCCAGCCATTTCACCGTCAAGTTGGTGAAGTTTCAAGTACTATTTCTAGTACCAAAAATGACGCTGTTTATCGTCTACAAAAAAGCTGAAAATCGCTGTGTTTCCACCTCAATATGTGGCCTTTGAGAAATGATCTTTGAAATATCAGTGACATGTAAAGAAACACGATCAGCTACGGTGAAATGATAGACCGATCGAAGCTCCTGAGGAGGATAACCCGAGTGAACCATACTTAGATGTTTCCGAAATCCCAGAAGATCGTTGACAGCGCTCTAAGCCAAACAACTACAACGACCACTGATCGAAATTACAATCCCTGCCAAAGCGGATGTCGGTCAAAGCGGTGAAAACATTATAGACAACATTGATATTTAGGGAAGAGAAAGAGGAGTACCTTATTAAGTGGTTTGGGTATCCCGCCAATTAAAGTACTTGGGAACCCGCAGAAAATATTCTTAATAAAGAATTAATTGATAATTTTTTTCCTCTAGGAAGAAAAAGAAGAAAAATGGCAATTACTAAAATGTCCAATAATCCTGTTCAAAATCTAACTGGGTCTTCTTTGATAAAATACTCGAATCGATGTCTCGTATCCAGGATACAGTTAAAAGACTCCTAGCATTGCCAGGATTTTACACACTCATAGAGTGCGATACGTATTTGACAAGGTATTCTTGTTATGAAACCGGTATACTGTCACGAATGTCGTATGATAGGAGGTTACCGCGATTCGCTAAAAAAGTGTAAACAATGGGCACTACGAAAATGTACAAGGGTACCAGCGGATGAGAGAGAGCATAAAACGTAGACAACCTACAATTGTAGGTCAAAGTTGGTTTTGTCATAGTGGAGTGTTTAGTCTATTTAGAGCTATTTATAAGGCCACGAGGCACTCGTGTGAATAAAAAAATATACGTAGAAACCTCAAAACAAACAATGAGACAAATAACAAAGGCAATGCGAATCGGCCAGGAGCTTACAGTATCAGAGTTGTAAACGAAAAAACCATTCATTATTCAAATTAACAGATCGCATTGGCAGAAAATTGAACGAAGTAACATCATCCAATAGGGATATTGATCGGACGTTTTCTCAATGGGAAATTAAGTTAAAAAGATTTTCAAACACAGTAGAATGCGAACAGCACTTGACCCTTGAATTTATGTCGAAATCGTCTGCAGAGATAAACCGCGCTTTCTTGATGATCTTAAGATTTTTCGAGCTACAGGATATTATTTCACAGTTGAACAGTTTAAACCAAAAGACTCTCGTTGGCATTTCTGATTTACCCCAATGCCAAACCTATCACGTGACTTTCACATATTCCATGACTGAGCTATCTTTATGGCGAGAGTGTACCGCGAATTTATCGCGAAACTTGTCGTGAATTATATCTAGCTGCCCATCGTGAATTGTCCGTCAAACAAACTACCTATCATATCAAATGCGAATTATAAACTATTTTACACAAACTCTGAAACTACTTGGCCGCATCTAAGGAATGTCAACATAGTTCTACTGCAGTGGAAAACCGACGGTTTGCATGTTAAAAAAACAGTCGGTGTACATAAATACGCAGACGTTTTCCCCGGAAAATCGTCAAGTAGTGCATTTGGATCAAGGCAACTTTTAAGTCATGAGAGAGTGGAAAAATCGTCAGATGGTCTTGGTGTTGACATATTGACATCTTCTTTCCAATGCTGTAAAGCAAACTGAGTATAAAAGTAAGTAGTGCAGTAGTTGGTGGTTCAAGCAAACACGCCAACTCTAAACAAATTTCCATATGATGGAAAGAACTTGACAAAAATATTTCATGATATTCATTGAATATAAATTTAGTTTAAATCATCTCCACCTGATAGATACTGAAATTTTGCAAAGGAAATAATTCCTAGAAATAAAGGTTTAACATTCCGAAGAAATCAACTCACAGCCCACGCGACGGTATCATCAAAAAACAGGACGTCTATGGTAAACAAGTGACTTTACCCCCTTCGAAAACGAGTTATCAGATTGCTATTGTTTTAACAAGTAAAGTTTGTTGAAAACAAAATTGTCGTTAAAAATTGTTTCTCATCATTGCGAGAAATTTTAGGGAAAAAAAGAATTTGATTGTGTAATACTATAGGGGGGTTGCTAGCTTTAGCGAGTCAAGTCTCATGAAGAAGTATCGTCAAGTTGTTTATTCCCAAGAGGATCTTTACACTCTCAATATCTTCAAACTGCTGAACTAAGTTTACAATGTTGTAGCAGATAAACAGCGTAGTAACAAAACTATTGCTAACCTGTTTCTCTATTAAACATTCTCATTGGTCTCTGGGCTAAGTGAACTACTCATTACCTTCTGTTTACAGAATAAACAAATGGAGTTTGTAAGAAATAATTCTTGTATGACTCTGAATCAAAATTCTTAGTTACTGAGTTGTATTGATATACGAAACCCTTTGTGAAGTTAGTTTTGGCCGATAGCTGCTTTTAGAGATTTCTGGTTGAGTAAAAGAAGATGACGCTATTAGTGAATATTTATTAATAAATACATTTGATTAACTTTTTGTGCCTGCGCACTAAGGTGCTTGGACAACACCCTACAAAACTTACATTAAGCAATCACGTAACAAGATCATCTTCTCTTTTGTTAAAGTGAGCGTCTATTATGAAGCAATAATAAAATAAGCTATCCTGTAAGATTGACCAATTGCCTGTATTTCACTTAGTTACCAGATATGTTTTGGAAAACTTTTGTCAACTGAAGTTGGTACTCTAAGAACAAAAGCTTTTTTGTTGTACAAGTTTGTGCAAAATCCAATTATGACTTATGACTTAGAGAAATATTGAAATATATGAAATTTGTTAAAATATAGCGTTGTTACAATACAACAGTCTAGACTCTCACGTGGAAAATGACTCAAAGCATTGGTATTTTTTGAGGTCATACGATAGTCGTATGATTTTTTTCAACCAATCAGGAAGTGTCTGATGTGTACAAAAGATCAGCTGCTGAGAAGAGATACAGTCTAACAAGCACTCAAAACAATTGAAGTCCGAGCTTGTTGCCAGTGTTGCCAGTTCTCCAAGTTTTTTCAGAGCGGAAAAGATCATGACTCAACAACAATCCCAAGGCCATAAGTGCCAGTTGCTCTACCATCGCCTCATGCTTCCCGACTGGCTGCGCAAGAATGCAGAGTGGAACTCTCCTAAGGAAGGGAATGAGTTGAATCTCGATATTTTACCTGACTCCTCCGACTGGGAGAACATCTTCCGAGTTCCTCTCATTTGCAGAGGTGAGCTGTGTAAGGAGGAGGACATCACTGTCAAGATGAAGGTGGGCGTCGTTTTGCCTGAGCCTCAGAAGCCTCGGGACCCTATGTCTTATATGATATCAGACGGGGACTTTTCCGTGGGAATTCAGCTTTTGGATCCCAACGAGGATTACGTCAAATTTGGTCCTTACCGAGCTGTTGAGGGCGAGTCCGCCAGAGCCAAGTTGCGAAACCCAAATGTAGAAGTTGCAGCGACTGTTTCTTCCACTTCAAGAAATAACCCAGATCAGTTTGAACTGTCGTTCAAGCCCTCCGAGATGTTTGGGTCTGCCTACTGCGCCATAGATGACGGCCATAAGATTGTCGCTAGGTATTCTGATACCCTGAGCCTGGACAAAGGTCTGACCTTTGAGTTGTATCGCTTTAAAAGCACCGAAAGGTACACCATCAATTACATTGAAGTCACCATATACAAGGACTCCACTAAGTGACTAAATCACAGGAAACGGAAACAACAAAAGTTGGACTTTTTTTAAGACGTTGCTCTTTGTTTCAGACAGTTCTAGTTTTTAAGTAATAATCACTTTTTAGAAATACTTGCGTTTAATTGTGAAATTTTGTCTTTGAAAGTAGAAACGATAGACTGTCATCACTATGGGCAATTTCAATAAAATAAAAACCTGCCTATGTTTTGCTTGCGAAGTTAGGCCTACAGATTTTTTCAATTAACGTAAATTTGTGGTTGCGAGATAAGGATCTAAACAACCTCTAAACAATATCCTTAGATGCTTGCCCGATCGGTGTTTCACCTCAGCTTTAAGGTACGGTAATACGAGCAACAAAAACGTCCAACTTGTCTCGCAACATTGCTGAAAAACAAGTTTAAAAGCGATGCTGCGCGTTTTACTACCAGCGAACCAACTTGTCTCGCAGCAAAACAATTTGTTGCAAGTTGAATTAGTTTAGATTTCTTATTGGCTAAAAACATCACCTGATGTTGGCTTGCGCGCGCAAGTTGGGTTGCTGTGGTAATACGAGCAACATCTACAAGTTTTGTTGCAAAAAGTAGAACCATCTTCTACTTTCTGCAACAAACTTTTTCAACTTGCAACAAGCCATTTTGACGCGAGACAAGTTGGTACGCGCGTAGAAAAACGAGCAACATCGCTTTCCAACTCGTTTTGCATCAATGTTGCGAGACAAGTTGGACGTTTTTGTTGCTCGTATTACC